ATGAATGTAACATCAGGATGAACTTATATCTTTAAAAATGTCAATAATTCACAATATACAAGGTCATTTCTTAACTATTGGCATTTCTAAAGATATAAACTCATCTTGATGTAACTCTCATCAAAAGCTTTCATTTGAGTACCCACATGCATTTTCATATATTTTTCATATATACATATATATCATATATATAAATATATGAAAAATTGATGTGGATACTTAAATGAAAGGTCTCGATGATTGTAACATCAGAATGAGCTTATATCTTTAAAAATGTTAATAGTTCACAAGATACAATGTCATTCCTTAACTATTGACGTTTTTAACGACACCAAATTTTACTATAAAAACCCATTTTATCATATAAATACACTGGCCACAAAATTTTGCTTATTCTCTTAATAATATCAATAATTTTTTAATTATAAATTTCAAAATAATTGTTCTTTTAAGGACATTTAATTTTTTTAATTAGAATAAAATTGCAAGTGTCAAACAACTAGGCCAGTGTCAATAACTGGGTCTTTTACTTTAATTAAAAAAATTTGAAAAATTTATTAAATTACAGAAAAAAAAATTTGTTCTAAGTTTATAATTAATACAAATATTTTTTTTCCATTTACTTGTGATAAAATAAAAATCTAGCAATAATCTAGTGATCTAAATACCTGGGATTGGAAACAGCAACAATAAACTATAAGTAATACAGGTATACCAGCGACTAGAATATACACTGCCCAAATCCATGGGTTCTCGCTTGTGAAGTTAACAAATTGTCGCCAAATAGTCCACTAAGAAATACAAAAAAAAAATAATAATATAATAAAAGCATACTCTACATATTAAATAATCTATTACAATCGCTGGGGAGCAGTAAATATTAGATAGTAGATAATCTAGCGCTCAGATAAATAATTAATGAAGGTAATGAGGAAGGTCGCAGCATTATGTCATGGGAAATCGATTGCTCATAATAATAAGCAACAGCATTGTTGATACCTCCTTGGCCCTTTTGTAGAGGTACCAGATGTATATAGTTATAGGTATAGAACAGTAGATAAAATAGGCAGCCCACCAGCCGGGCTTGTGATTCATTGACCGCATCAAACGACCCCATATTGTCACCTACGCGCCCGCATTATAAAACGTTTCACCAAAGTCCATAAATCAATTAATTCGTCAATAAAAAATGTATTAACTGATTAAACATTTATAAACTGTGGTATTAGTTAGTCTATATTTAGTATCAAGAGGAAGCTTTAAAGCTTCTATTACTCACGCTGTCCTGAGCTATCTTTTTTCGGTGAATCTCGAAGGTATCTTCTGCCCACTGCTTGGCTACATCTTCATCGTCGGTGATGATCAAGTTGTCAAAGTAGATATCAGGGGACATTGACCAGAGTTCGAACCCGATAGCGTGCTGCAATATTAATGTATTAATATTTAATTGTATAAGTGTGTTTTTTAATTTTTATTTGTATTTAATTTATATTTTATTAAATTTCACTGTACTTTTTTTAACTATTGACGTTTTTAAAGATATAAGCTCATCCCGATGTTACACTCATCAATAGCTTTCATTTGAGTACCTACATCAATTTTTCATATATTTTTCATATATACATATACATATATAATATATATAAATATATGAAAAATTGATGTGGGTACTCAAATGAAAGGTCTTGATGAGTGTAATGTCGCGGTGAGCTTATATCTTTAAAAATGTCAATATTTCACAAGATACAAGGTCATTTCTTAATTATTGACATTTTTAAAGATATAAACTCATCCTGATGTTACAATCATCAATAGATTTCATTTGAGTAGCCACATGCATTTTTGATATATTTTTCATATATACATATATATAATATATATAAATATATGAAAAATTGATGTGGGTACTTAAATGAAAGGTCTTGATGAGTGTAACATCGCCATGAGCTTATATCTTTAAAAATATCAATAGTTTACAAGATACAAGGTCATTTCTTAATTATGTATCTAGAGGCCACAAAATTTTTCTTATTCTCTTAATAATATAGATAATTATTAATATTTAATTATATAAGTATCTTTTTAGTTTTTTACTATTGTAAAACTTCAAACTAATAAATAATATAACAAAAAAATAATGTATTGTTTTTCTTATTGAAAAATTAAAAAAAAAAAATAATTAATATTTAATTAAATAAGTATCTTTCAAATTTTATATTGTTGCAGAACTTATAAGTCTACTTTGACGGTAATAAATAAAAATAATAATTTAGTATCCTTATAAAAAGTAAATAAATAAAATGAATAGCTGATCTATTTACAACGAGGTGATAAACCGTATTAAAATAAATTAAAACAAGTACGTACAATTGGAGACATCCGGAAAGGATGATCATCATTGAAGTAATCCGGATTATGGATGAGTCTTGGTTTCCATTTACCTTTGTAATTAGGATTATCAATAAGAGGAGCGAGCCATTTACCCTTGTACCTCGGATTCTTCTTCATTTTTTGCTTATAAGGACCACAACCAGCGACACCTTCGCACTTGGGGTTCGGAATTTCTGGAGGCTCCCACTCTCCGTCCATTTCGACGTCCCAGTCTTCGGGTTTTACAGCATCGGGATTAGGAATTGTTGGTGACTCATCTTCAAGCCAGCCATCTGGGACAACATCATCTTCATCAACAATCTGAACCGGAGCATCCTCGTCCCAGTCTTCTGGTTTAACTGCCGTGGGATCTGGAATTTTCTCCCTGTCGTCCCAGTCTTCCGGTCTGGTGTCATTGGGGTCTTCGATCTCCAGCGGAGGATTCACCGGCGGCGTAAAGTCGTCGAGCAGAGAACCTTCGTTGACAATTTTATTGTCTACTTTTATGACGAAAGAATTATCCGGGCGAATTACCAGAGTGTAAAGATGGGGAATCTTGTCCTTGAAGTACTCTTCCAATCTTTCTTTAGGTTTCTTGCAGTGCTTCTCTTCAATAGTTCCATTTACTGGGTTCTTATGTCGGAAAATAAAGTGAAGCTTGTGATCGTTGCCGCATTTGTCTGGCCCGAACATTATTGTGTAAGGAGTTTTGTCGTGGAACTTTTTGAGGTCTGCGTGAGCTGGGTCTTGAGTAAGCAATTTAAGATACGCTCCGCCGCACTCTTGGCCTTCCTGGAAGTTAACCTCGTATTGAACGATCAGTGGCTTGTCATCGAATTTAAATGGTTTGTTCAGCAAAGCTGAAATTGCAGCGTGTCGAGCTTTGCTTTTTAAAACTAATCCCAAGTCTCCGTCTTGTTGATTTCTCAGAGACTCTTCCAATGACCAGACGCCTTTAAAATAAATTTAGTTTATTTTAAATAAATTTATCTAAAGCTGTGATACTCTAAGAATACATCTAACAATTTTTTTTATTTTTATAATCAATTAATTGTTATAAAAAAAAATATCATTAATTTTTTTCAATTTTCTACATGTTGAATTTTTTTGATAAATTATTTTTGTTGTGAATTGTTAAGAAAAAAATTGTTAGATGGCTTCTAGATTCAATATTATTAAAAAGCTAATTAATGAAAATTTATTTAGTAGATATTTAATAATTTTAAGAGTTTTTTTTAACAATTTATGGCAAAAAAAAATGATTAAAAAAATTGACTAGAAATTGTAAAATTAAAAAGTGTGATTTTTTTTAAATAATTTTTTGGAAGAAATTTGTTTGTTAAAAAATAATAAAGAAATTGTAAATTATCAGCTAAATTTAATGAAAATTAATGTAGTAGAAATTTGATAATTAAAAAAAAATTTTTAATAGATAAATTATAACAAAAAAAAATTGACATTTGGCAATTTTTAAAAATTAAAAATGCAATTTTTTAAAAATAATTTTTTGGAACAAATTTGTTTGTTAAATAAAATTAAAAAATGGTCAAGTGACAACAGTTTAAATTAATCAGATATTTAATTATTTTAAGAATTTTTTTAATAAGTAAATTATAGCAAAAAAAAATTTTTTTTGTAAATTGATATGTAGAAATTTTAAAAAATAAAAAATGTTATTTTTTGGAACAAATTTGTTTGTTAAAAAAAATTCAAAAATGATCAAATGACAGCTAACTTTAATATCACAATGAATTATTGAAAATTAAAAAAAATTACCATCATATTTAGCAATATCTTCATCAGCTGACTCCTTTTTAGCTTGCGACTGAATCCAAACAGTTTTAAACCTCTCACTGTCATCAAAACTCTCGGCTAAATAAGCAAATCCCGAGACAACGGGGCTGGTATACGAAGCTTTAGTTTCTTCATCACTAAAATCTTGATCATGAGAATGGCTTTCCTCACAGAAAATCTTTGTGGAAAAAAGATTTATAATTAGGACAAGTATCAAAGCTCTCGTTCTCGCCATTAGTTACCTAATAAGAGACATAAAAAAAAAAAAAAAAGAAAAAAAAAAAACAATTAATCATTTGTTTTATATAAGTCAAATTATATAGACCTAAATTACAATTTTAATCTAATTGTAAAATCAACTAACTAAAATGAAAAAAGTGATGCAATGAAAAGTAAATAAATGAAGTTAAGATAATAGAATTATAAAAGATAAAAATATCAATAAAACTTACCGATTTAAAAAATATACAATAGTAAAATAGATTGTATTTAAAACGCAGAACAATTGAACATAATTTCCGGAGAGTTGTAACAAAACACGCGTATTTTATTTATTAAATTAACTTAAATAATTATAATCTAATCTATTTACACGTAGTCTGTTTCTGTCTAGTCGGTCTAGATGTATTCATGTGTCTTGTTGCAAAAGTCCATTGATCACCGGGGAATTAGTGTCTATGACAATTAGGGAGTGTCCAGAGAGGAAACTGACTTATAAATATCATTTTCTTTTTAAATTACAGTGACATCTTTATAGAAACATGGCGGTCTCCTATTGGTTGGAGTTTTCATCACAGAAATCTACCGCAGCGCCACCAACTTGTGCGCAGCACTTGACAATTCCTTTAATTTTAAATTTTGCCGCGTTTATTAGTTAGAATAAAATTTACTGAGGGCGCTGAAACTCTGCTGTCGATTTGTACTTTTTCCACGTTGTGACGCAATATCGTCTGATCCTCGTGGTTACTATGATTGGCTGACGTATAAGTCGGATGATCATTTGTAATTTTTTTTTTTTATTATTAGTATTACCCACAACGTTTAATAATTCGCACGTATGTATGTTTACGTGAAACCGTTCAATTTTATTGAATTTACCAGCGTTGTAAAATAATATTTTTTTATTATTTTGAAACTGAACCTGAAAAAAAGAAAAAAAAAAATAACAAGTGTTTGGACTGGTTTTAAGAATGGGGGACTCTGGAGGTACCTGGTCCTCAATTCAAGACACTGAATTTCCAAATTTTACAGCCGGTGATACCTTCAATTTAAACGATGTCACTGGTTTTGATGGTGGGTATTCCTTATTTATAAATGTCACATTTTAAACATGTGTTTATTTTTTTTTTTAGGTTTATTATTATTATAATTCAAGATGTTTTTATTTGTAAAATTATATTGATTGATCTTTCATTAGATTTTATTTGACAAATACTTATCTAATCGTTTTGTATTTACGTAGTTGATTTTTAGAATTTTATTTACAATAATAAACATTGCATAAACCTTATGTCAATATTTTATTGACTTTTAAATAGTGTGTACAATTTAGTTTTATATCTGTCAAATTTATTTATTTGTTCAATTAATTTCAAAATATTGAGACTAATTTTAAATAAAATTGATTTGTTAAAATATTTAATATTTTATAATATTTAATTTTACAAAAAGAATTTTTAGATTTTTGTAATAAATTATAACAGAAAAAAATTTGCTAAAAAATTCCACAGGTAGAAATTTTAAAAAATAATGAGTAAATTTTAAAAAATATTTTTTTTTTAATATTGATTTATTAATTATTTATATTATTAAGAGAATAAGCAAAATTTTTTGGCCAGTGTATTTATATGATAAAATGGGTTTTTATAGTCAAATTTGGTATGCAATTATACTTAAATGTTTGTCTCGCAACACATAATTAAGAAACGACCTTGTATTTCGTAAACTATTGACAATTTTAAAGATATAAGCTCATCCCGATGTTACACTCATCGAGACCTTTCATTTGAGTACCTACATCAATTTTTTATATATTTATATATATATATGTATATATGAAAAATATATCAAAAATGCATGTGGGTACTCAAATAAAAGCTCTTGACGAGTGTAACATCAAGATGAGCTTATATCTTTAAAAATGTCAATAGTTAAGAAATGACATTGTATTTTGTCAACTAATGACATTCTTAAAGATATAAGCTCACCCCGACATTACACTCATCGAGACCTTTCATTTAAGTACCTACATCAAATTTTCATATATTTATATATATTATATATATGTATATATGAAAAATATATCAAAAATGCATGTGGGTACTCAAATGAAAGCTCTTGATGAATGTAACATCAAGACGAGCTTATATTTTAAAAAACGTCAATATTTAAGAAAGTCCAGTGCAATTTAACAAAATTCATTATTTAATAAAGCAAAATTTTATTTATAGTTCACAAGTCACGGCAGTTACATAGTGACTGCAAAATTGCTAGTCAGATTTAATTAATGAATTTAATCTTCCAGATCTGTTAAAAAATTGCGAAAGCGAGTTGATGAAAAATGAGCACTTATTTGGCGACGAGACATTTCTATCAGACCTCAGCGACCCGATCGCGATGGAGAACGACCAGTTTAATTTCCTGGACATGAACATCGACAATGACTTCAAGGACACAAATTTAATGGGAAAGTTGGTGGAGCCAAATGTGATGGTGATGGCGTCTAATGCTGCTCAGGTTCCCCAACAGGTATCTCCGCCTCAGCAATCACCGCAGCCTCAACCACAACCCCAACAAAAACCTCAGCAACACAAGAGACACGCAAGCGTTCCAGACGGACAGCTGCCCAACCAACCGAAGAAATTGGCAACCCACCCGGCATCTCCAGCACCCACAGTCTTTGCTTCTCAATACACGCTTCCTCAGAACGTTAATTTTACTCTTAAATCACCAGTTGTAACTCTGGCTCCTGTAAATACTAACCAGCGACAATTGCTACTACCCGCTAAGTTGATCAAGTCTGAGTCTGTTGTTTATCCAAGAGGCTCTCAAGCGATTACTTCGACCCCGGTACCTCATCAAATTCATACTTTTGTTAATGCAGCTAATGGAACTGTCCTGGCTACTGGTAATTTATAAATTCAATTCAATATTTAATTTCAATTATTTTATTATTTGTTTTAACAATTTTTTTAAAGGCATACCGGTAGTCCTAGACACCGATAAAGTCCAGATAAACCGTATGAATACGTCACCAGCTGTCGGGGTCCCCAAAGTACGTGAGGTCAAGCGAAGTGCGCACAATGCCATAGAACGTCGTTACAGAACGTCAATAAATGACAAGATAATTGAATTGAAAAATATAACTGTTGGTGTGGACGCTAAACTCAATAAATCAGCAATCTTACGCAAAACAATTGATTACATCAGGTTTGTTTTTAATAAACATATTAACATGAAAAATTTATGACATTGAAGTTAGCTATGATCATTTTTTAAACACTTGACGCTTAAAATTATTTTATTCTCAATTTTTACTAATAAATAAGTAGATTTATTTATAATATGTATATAGGTATTAGAAATAAATTTATGACATTAAATTTAGCAGGCACTTGATCATTTTTTTTAATTTTATCTAACAAAAAAATTATTGTTAAAAAATTGCATTTTTTATTTTTACATGTCAATTTTTTTTGCCTTAATTTATGAGTTAAAAAAATTCTTAAAATGATCTAATATCTGTTAAATGAATTTTCATAAATTTATAACATTAAATTTAGTAGTCACTTGATTATTTTTCAATTTTATTATAAAAAAAAAAATTTTCTAAAAATTATTTTAAAAAATTTCATTTTCAACTTTTTAAAATTTCTAAATATCAATTTTTTACTCATAATTTATCAATTAAAAATTCTTAAAATTATCAAATATCTGCTAAATTAATTTTCATAAATTTATAACATTAAAATTATCAGTCACTTGATTATTTTTCAATTTTATATAACAAAAAAAATTTTTTTTTTTTAAATTCTATTTTCAATTTTTTTAGTCATAATTTATTAAAAAAATCAAATACCTGCTAAATTAATTTCCATAAAAAATTAATTAATTAATTAATTTATTGCTCTATTTATAATTCAGATTCTTACAAAACTCAAACGCAAAACTCAAAGCGGAGAACATGGCAATGAAAATGGCAGCACAACGACAAAACCTCCGCGACCTCTTATCCTGTGGCGAGCTGACACCGCCACGTTCAGACTCCAGCGAGCCATCTTTATCCCCCGCACCAGCTCCTCTGTCCCCAGCTTCACCATTGTCCATCAAAGAAGAGCCAGACAACTTCCAGCACAAGCCTCAGCACTCAGTCAACGGTCTTGGAGACCACACTCGCCTCACACTCTGCGCTTTCCTTCTCGTCTTTATCGCCTTCAATCCTCTTCAATTCGCGATTAACAAAGTCGGAAGATTTAACAGCGACTTGGGAGAATCAAAATTCGACGGCAGAACAATATTAACTCACGAGGAACCAACTGAGCCTGCGTCGATCGTATGGAACAGTATCATCCTCTGGTTCGTCAACGCATTACTTCTAATCGGCGGTCTTTACCGCCTTCTTCTCCACGGAGATCCGGTGATTCCAACCGAGAGCAAGACATTTTTAGAATTGCGCCGCTGGCGGCACCAAGCAGAGTTCAATATGTCGATAAACGACAACGAGAAAGCTCACTCGGATCTACGAAGGTGTCTCGGTTACTTCAACAGAACTCTACCGAGTTCCAGGATGGAAATTGGACTGACAACTCTGTGGCAAATAGTCCGACAAATTCTCTACAGACTCTGGATCGGAAAGTGGATCCTCCATGCTGGCAAGTGGCTCTCCCAAAGCTCCGAGCGTCAGCAGACCGAAATCTCAACCATGGAACTAGCGATGGTCTACCAGAGAATTCTCTGCCTCCGTTTGTCAGAAGGATCCTCCAATGCGACTCTCTTTTTGGCCCTGTCTGCTGTTAATTACGCCGAAGCTGCTGGCGAGTGTATTCCCAAAGTCTCTCTGGCGGAAGTTTACATCAATGCTGCTCTCTGCTTCAAACAGTCCATGTTCTCTCTGGTTCATAAATATTATTTCAATAAAGCTAGAGCTGTTCTGGCTACTTGCGTGGTACCTTCCAAGTTCAAGTGGATTATGACTAATGAAGGTGCCAAGTTTTTTACTTCACACAAGTGGCAATACGGAGATTGTCCAGTCAGCGAGTTCACCTCTCAGAGTATCAAGACAGACCCTCTGTCTTTTACTGCACGTGCTTATCGGGAATATCTTGTTGGACAGTGTCTTAGACTCTTGACTGGCACCGCTGGAGACTCGCATGCTTCTACTATTTTGGCGCTTGCGGAAAATATTATTGCTTCTGCTGATGTTGAGATTGGATTTCCAACTCAGAGCAGTAATGGTCAAGGTAAGATTCTGATTTATTTATTTATTTATTTATTTATTGATCATGAAGATTATTTTCCTTTTGATCACAAATTTAAATGAATACAAAATTTAATCATTTTTATAATTTAATTATAAGGTAAAAGACCCAATTATTGACACTAATGGCCTAATTGTTTGACACTTTCAATTTTATTCTAATTAAAAAAATAAAATGTTTCCAAAAAAACAATTATCTTAAAATTTATATAATTCAAAATTTATATTTATTCATTTATTACACTGAGAAAAAAATATACTTTTATATTAAGAAAATTTTCTTGATACAATAATTCATGTTCTTGAAAATTTTCAAGAATATATATTTTTAGCTCAAGAATTTGTTAAATTAATTCAAATAATTCTTACTTAATTTAAATGCTCTTAAATAATTTAAAAGCTATTCTCTTGTTTATCTATTATTCAAAGATAAATATTGATGCTCTTCTCTTCAATAATTATTGATTATAATTATTAATCATAATTAATAATAATAGTGTTTGATTGTCATCGAATTTCTTGAACTAAGTAAATTGTTAATTGAGTAAAAGAATTTTTTTTTTTCTCAGTTTAGAATTGATTTATTTTTTTTTTTTTTTTTAATTAAAATAAAATGGCAAGTGTCAATAACTAGGGCCAGGGTCAACAATTGGGTCTCTTACTTTAAGTAATAAATAATTATTTTAAATAATTTTGTAGACCGTGAAGATCCAATAGGACTATGGTGGGGCGCAGTATTTTGCGCTGCAGCAAACTGGAGATTAGGCAATGAAGATTCATCTTGGACGCTTGTAGAAAGTAAATTTCCGTACGGAAAAAATTACAATAAAAATGACGCTTCGTCAAACGGCAATCCACTGCCTTATGCAGTCCTTTGCGTTCTTCAAGCAGCTAAACGCTCGACTAGGTCGTCTATTAGACTTGTTGATCAAGCTGGGGAATATTTACAACACTCGATGGTCTACTACCATTGTAAACAACAATCACCGCATAATGTACAGGTACAAATTGTCGTAGATGCTTGTTTTTAATTACAAGTAACTTCAAAAAAATTTTTGAAGATTAAAAATACCTCTTACGTGTGTGCATTGTAGTTGCATTGCATGAATTTTAACTATGCAATACTTCTGCAGTGCAACACTCGTGACAGAGCTTACCAACATTTATTTAATTATTTTATTTATTTATTTATTGATTATAATATTTAAAATTTTATTCAATTTTTTTTTTTAGATAAAAATTTATGTTAAAAAATTTTTTTAATATTTTTAGTTGGTTCAATTATGGCTCTGTGATTGTTTATTGGAATTAAGAACAGTGTTATGGCAAGGATTGGGTGGAGAAACAGGTCAAACAGCAGTCAACACGTTCCTCGCAGCTTTTCAACGTGATTTAGCTCGTTTAAGACAACTAAGTCAATATATTCCGGTTAGTATAAATTTTTAATAATTATTTAAATAAATTTTTGAATGAATAATAAATAAAAATTTTATTTTAGTCCGTATTACCAAGGATATTTTTGTATGAAGCAACGGCGCGAATAATGGCAGGAGCAACTCCAGTAAAAACGCAATTGCTTCTTGACCGCAGCTTGCATCATCGCAATTCTCGCTCCTCAATTATTTGTGGCAAGGATCGTTCCCACGAAAACGGTAACGGAGAGCGAGAACACGCAGCAGCGCTCTGTCTTGCGTGTCGTCATCTTCCTGTGCTTTTGCTAGCATCTCCCGGTGAACGAGCCGGAATGCTGGCAGAAGCTGCTAAGACACTGGAGAGGATTGGAGACAGGAAAAAATTGCAAGAATGTTATGAACTGATGCGCCAGCTTGGTCCGGCTATTTCTGCTAATTAATTATACTTACACGTCCATTTCACTGTAAATAAAACTCAAAGCCTTACTGTTCAATTGATATTTTTTTTTAATATCATTATTAATTATAATTATTATGTACAGATTCCATCACCAGTGTACTAATAGACCGCAAAAAATGATAATTAATATATTAATATATTTACGTAAATAATTATTTTCTGACATATGTATGATTTATAATATTTAAAATATAAAATGAATTTATTTTTATTATTTATTGTTTTTAATTAATTGTAAAGAAATTTGAATTTATTATTTCATTCTTGAAATTTATTTGGCAATTTATAAAATTATTTATATTTTTATTAATAAATAAATCATTAATGATTTTTTACAATTATAAATATTTTTTAAAATGTATTTAAAGTTTATAAAAATTAATTTAGTAGATATTTAATAATTTTTAGAATTTTTGTTAATAAATAAATTATGGCAAAAAAAAAAAAATAAGAAAAACAAAGTGACATTTAGAAATTAAAAATGCAACTTTTTTTTAAATAATTTTCTTAGTTAATTTAATTGTTGAATAAAATTAAAAAATGGTCAAGTGACTTTTAATTTAAAAATGTAGTTTAAAATTCACATGTAGAAATTTAAAAAAAAAATTAAAAATGCAATTTTTAATAAAATAAAAAAATGGTTAAGTGACAGCTAATTTTAAAATATTTAAAAAATTTCAACAAAAATTCAAATTACTATACTAAAGCGCCATCTAAAACTTTCATTTCCATCTTGACCACCAGAGCTCACTGACGTCAATCACCGATCCAGCCTTTTCATACTTGTCGACTAAAGACTAAGGTACGCATTTTTATTCATTATGTTTATAAATAAATAAATTAATCATTTCTTCCATAAATCTAATAATTAATCAATTAAACAAAAAATTTTCCTTTAATTTTCCATATAAAACTTAGTATCTCTCAAAAAACCTTTTACAAAGAAACATTATTTAACAAGCTTCAACAGCCACGTGCGTCAAATTTTATTTACAAAGAAAAACTAAATTATTCATCTTAAAATAATAATCAAATTAATATTTTGGACTATAAAAAATTTTTTATTATTCATTTTTACCAATAATAATTCTTAAGCGTTGATAATTTACCCAGATGACATTCTAACCTCACTTAAATTTTCCATCAGGCAAAATGACCAACTCCAAGGGTTACCGTCGTGGAACGAGAGACTTGTTCTCTCGTAAATTCCGTACTCATGGAACCATCCCTCTGAGTACCTACATGAAGGTGTACAAAGTCGGAGACATTGTTGACATTAAAGGCAACGGTGCAGTCCAAAAAGGTATGCCACACAAGGCTTACCACGGCAAGACTGGACGTGTGTTCAACGTGACTCCCCACGCTATGGGAGTGATCGTCAACAAGCGAGTACGTGGACGTTTCATTGCCAAGCGCATCAACGTAAGAATTGAGCACTTGAACCACAGCAAGTGCCGAGAGGACTTCCTCAAGAGAGTTAAGGAAAACGAGCGTCTCAGAAAGGAGGCTAAGGAAAAGAACATCCACGTTGAGTTGAAACGTCAACCCGCTCAACCTTCCAAGGCTCACATTGTCTCTGGACGCGAAGCTCCAATCCTCTTGGCGCCAATCCCGTATGAGTTTATTGCTTAATTTTATTAATAAAGATCTTAAATTGATATAAATTAAACAAGTTTTATTTATTTTATTTTATTTAATTAATAAGTTTTAACAATACTTTTCCAACTTTATTATTTTATTATACAATTAATTAGAATCTGATGGTGAATTTAACATACTTTATTGAAATAATATTTAAAATTAAATTGAATTACATGGAGAAAAATAATAAGATTAAATTCTGATTAATTTACATTTTAATAGACTAGTATTGGGACAATTAAAATATAATCGCACGTATTTTAAATAGGAGCAATTAAATTGGGAAGCCTTCATTATCAAATTTTATTTTTTAAAAGTGATAGAAATATCTTAATTCTGTTTTTTATTTTTTTTTTTTTTTTTCTATACCATTAATTACGTAGTAGGAGTGGTATCAATTTTAATAAAATAAAATTGATACTTTACCGTGAATAAATTATTTACAGTAAATTAATTACAGTCCCGTGATTGATAGAATAATATGTATCCAGTTTCTGATGTCTTGTGGATGTCGGACGTCAGTCCATAGAAGTCTGCTATATTCGATGCATCGATTTTCTGAAATTTTATTTTAAAAATTAAAAAAATCCTGATTATTTATATAAGTTATTAGTATTAATTTATTATGCTTACATCAACTGCGTCATCATCAAACAGTAACCAGAAACCATGACTCTTAACAATAGAAATATAGTGTCCACGATTAGGCCCACTTCCACAATGTATCACAACAGCAACCAAATCATAAAGACGATCTGGATTAACAGCATCGTCGCTCTATTTATAAAAAAAAAAAAAAATTGAGTTAACAAAATTAACTATTTAAATGCAGGGTAAGTTTATTATTCAATTGCTGAATAAGTTAATACTTACAGTATTAAATAACCTTAACTCCAATGGAAACACAACTCTGTGGGATACTTTAATGTGTCGGTTATACTGCTCTACATACTTGAATCTCTTTAAATGAAGTGCGAGGATCATTGGTAATTTTTTCAACCTCATTCGTTTCTGTAAAAATTATTAATAATTTTTAAAAATATAATTACAACCAAAATATAATAATAAGTTTTACGTTATTATTATTAATATTATATCTAATTTTTTAAATGCAGTCAATAATAATAATAATAATAATAATAATACTCTTGAATTATTATTATTATTATTATTATTATTATTATTATTACAACCAAAATATAATAAAATTTTACATTATTAATATATCTCATTTTTTCAGTGCAGTCAATAATAATAATAATAATAATAATAATAATAATAACGTAAAAATTATTATTATTATTATTATTATTGACTACATTAAAAAATTAGATATAATAATAATAATAATAATAACTTAAAAATTTTATTATTATTATTATTATTATTATAAGAAAAATACATACTTGGGCTTCTTGATAACTACTACAATGATCACACTTGAATTTATTATCACTACAAAGAGTTTCAGTATTAGAAAAACACTTGAGGCAGTAAGTTATGGATGTGTTCTGATCAACATCAACTTGTAAGTCAAAAAAATCTTCATCCTTGCTTGATACAGTCTCACAGTTAAGGCAACGAGTTTCTGATGTCAAGATACCTTGGAATATCTCGTGTACCCATGTTGGTTCTGGCGGTGTTCCAGCATCACCAGCTCCGCTTTTTCCAGTAGCTGCTTTACTTTGATTTCTTTCCGCTAAACAATCATAAATATTAATCATAATTTATAATCAATAAATATAAATAAAAATAATTTATTATACATACCGAGTATAATTTCATTAATATGGTTGATAAGAAAATTTAAAAATTCATGAGCATCTTGTTGCATATAATTATCAAACTCCTCTGAAAAATTTACATTATTAATAAAACATTATAATAATTTTTATTATAAATACAATAATAAAAGATAAAATCAAATTAAATTATCACTTATCATTAATAATAGTTATAATAATAACAATAATTAAAAATAAACTTTGTTACCTTTTTCTTTTCTCAATCTAGCAATAAATTTTTTTGGCGCAATTGAACCGACTTTCTTTTTCTGGGTCGCAATACTGTAAAACAGATCTGCTAAACATGTCAATAATGTTTCTTTGGTTCTTTTATTTCTTGCTTTATATTCTAATACTTTTTCCCTAAATGGCCTGCAAAAATACAAGGCCTGCAAAACTGAGTTACTGTAGCATGTATTTCCGAACTGAAAAAAAAAAAAAAAAAATTAATAAAAATAATATTAAAGTTAGTCGACATTTTTGATTATATTTTGCTTAATTTATTAAATTATAACTAAAAAATATTTTTTAAAAATTGCACTTATAATTTTTAAAGTTTTTAACAAATGAAAAAATTTTTTTTTAATAAAAAAAAATCATAAAAATTTTTAGATGTCGGCTAACTTTATATCCACTATTAATAATAATAAATATTAAAAATAAAAATAAAAAAAAAAAAACAGATTAATTAAAACCAATATTTACATTAACAAGACCAAAATAATGTTCATTGGGTGGAAATTGATCAGCTCCAATATTTCTCTCTAGCTGCGATATATTTGCACCCTAAAAAAATACAATAAATAATTATCTTATTTTACACTGGATATTACACACCCATTAAAAGCCAGGCAATTGTTAATAAAATAAAAACTGATAACAGATAAAATAATTAGTACTCACCATTTTACCATTTAATAACAAGAATAAAATACTGAGCAATTAAAATTGATTGTTCTGTCCCGAAAATCTTCATTGTATAAATATACTAACTAATATAATAATTATTAGCTTATTGTAATAGTTATCACACACATTATATTACAATTATTAATTACTTGTTACCAAATCGGCATGGCAATGTAATAAAATACACCGAACACACATGCAATAATATATGTATATATTTATCAACTCAATAATTAAAATAAATATTATCAGTATAAATATTTTTAAATTAATTATTTAATATTAATAATCTGATAAGCGTTATTTATTACATTACATTTTTCGTTAATTACTTTTGACAGATCTCGGTTATATATATTTTTTTTTATTATTTTTTTTATGTTGTGCACAGAACTCCCATCTTATAAATTTTAACTGCCGCCATCTTGTGGATAAAAACACCAACTAAATATTATTTAAAACGCATTTATACCGAGAACTGTCATTGAGATAACAAATAACAACTGCGAAGTAATTAGATCAATTTATTATAAAACTGATGACGTAAGAGATTAAAATTTAATTTAAGAGTAATTGATGACTAGATATATCATTTATTATTTATTAGTTTATTACAAGTGTTAGTTACCGATTGATAAAATTATTTAACGCGCATGCGCGCGGTATTGTATGATATGATAATTATTTGACAGGTAATATGCTGACATACAACTGACAAGTAAACATTAAAGATTAAACACTAAGTTATATTTGCTCAATATTTTAGAAATGGTTAAACTATGTTTTCTTTGTGATCGGAAACCATCGAAAGCTGATAAGATTTCATTTCATAAGTAATTTTTTTTTTTAGTCATGAATTATTTATTTGTCTTATTTATTTTTTCTAGATGTTTGCAATCATTAGCTGACTCATTTTTGGCTTAAAAATCAATACCTAAAATTTTAGTTTTCGCTTAAAATTTTTTTTTTTTAATTCTTTAGAAAATATTTAAAAATTTAGTCTACTAAAATTAAAAGACATCTGTCAATTTTTATGATATTAAAGTTAACCGAAATTTTTAATTTTTTTTTTAAATAATTAAAATAATTAAACTAGAACAAAAAAATATTTTTAAAAATTGCACTTACAGAGTTTTTAGAGTTTTTAACAAATGAAAAAATTTTTAAATGTCAGCTAACTTTATTTTCATCCATTTTTATGATATTAAAGTTAACCGATTTGTTTAATTTATTTAAATTAGATCTAAAAAATATTTTTAAAAAATTGCACTTGTAGTTCTTCAAGTTTTTTACAAATAAAATTTTTTTTTTTATTAATTTGTAATAATTTTTTTGATAAAAACAAAATTATAAAAATTTTTAGATGGCTATATATAACTTAATTTTCATTCAATTTTTTGGATTTTTATGACAACAAAAATTTTATTGAACAAATTTTTTAAAAATATTTTTTTTTATGATGACATTAAAGTTAGCGGTCACTTGATAGTTTTTTAATTTTGTTTAACAAATAAATTTTTTTTCTCAATTTTTTTGCCAGAATTTAGTTAAAAAACTTCTTCAAATTTAATTAAATATCTGCTAAATTAATTTTTTATTAAAACTAGGTATCTATGATTTATAAATTTTATAAAAATATAATTAAAAAAATTTAATGTAAAAATAAATTTTAGATTTCCAAAAGATGAAATAGCAAGACAAAAATGGCTAGATATCTGCGGATTAACATCAGAAGACGATGTTTCAAGAATATGCATTTGCTCAATGCATTTTACAGCAGCTGACATGATCAGTTGTTCTTCTGGAATAAAAAAATCATTCTTAAAATCAGGAGCTGTGCCCACAAAATTGTTGTCCAACCCTTTAGTGATAAAAGAAATCGATGAAGCTGCTAAAGCTGCCAAAAAGAGAAATGATCCTGACATCACGCTCCAGTCATCTGTCGAAGAGCTCATCGATGAGCTAATAAATGAAATCGGAGGTAATATTTTCAACAGTACAGATATTAAATTTTATTTTTAATTATTGCTTAAAATTATTTATCTAGATCTTGATGACAACATTGAGGTCCCGAAGAAACAACGAATATTTTATCGACCTCGTTATATCTCGGAAATAACGCTAGAAGACTTATCAACTCCTTCGAAAGCTGAAAGAGTTCTCAAGTTGATAAAAACCACAGACTTGAGAAAGTCTAAACAGATTAAAAGCTTACAGGACCAACGAAGACAACTCAATCTAAAGATTAAATCTCTCAAGGCGTTGATTGCTCAGTTGCAAGGCAAAGATCCTGATGCCTTGGAAGAAATTTAAAGTTGCTCACTTTTTTGTTCACTAGAGGATATATTTTTACGCACATCCTCAAAGACTGATTATTAATTTTTGCTTGGGTTATTAGTATTTAGACTTTAATTACATCGAATGGCTAATATTTTATTTCTATCTAAAATCAGTCAATCATAATTAATTCAGCAGATATTTGATAATTTTAATAATTTTTTTACCCCTACCATAGTCGCTCATGACCTTAGTAGTTTATGCGACTTTAAACAAATTAAGAAAAAAAAAAAATAATAATTTTTTTAACAAATAAATTGGCGCAAAAAAAAATTGACATGTAAAAATTAAAAAAAATAAAAAATGCAATTTTTTCGAAGAAATTTGTTTGTTAAAAAAAAATAAAAAATGGTCAAATGATTGCTAATTTAAATTTCATGAATCATTAAATGAAATTCTTGCCAATGAATCGTATAATAACATAACAATCGTAATTGATATTTTCTTTTATAAAGTTTTTTAAAAAATTATACTGAAATGAGCAGACATATAATAATTATTGAAATTTTTATAACGAATTAATTATTATAAAAAAAATTTTTTCTAATTTGCACTTCAATTTATTTGAATTTTTACTTCTTAAATTTTTGTCTTATTAAAAAATTTTTTTGATGTCTGTAAAATTCAGTATCATTTTATAAATCGTTAAAAAGATTAAAGTACAAATGATAGTACGAATTTATTAACTCTAAAGTGTTCTAATTGTATTCAATTATTTAATAGTTAGATAATTTATTTATATTTATATCACTTTTTTTCACAATTATATATACATATATATTTTTATGCACAGTATTTTCTCTCAAAAATATTCTAGTCATAAAATTAAGAAAATTATTTCAATAGATAATTAATTGTCTACAAATACAAAAAAATAATAAATTTTAAATAAAGTAATTTATAAGAAAAGTACCAAAGATCAATGCGTATTATAAGTACATATTGTTTGTTGGTTTGTAGCGGTGGCAAGCGCATCGAGCGATTGGTTGAGCCTAGCTTCCGGTAGAGGCGTGACCGTAGAGCCAGTGTCGCCAAGTACATACCTACCATTTTTAGTGTTTAATCCGCCATTACGTCTTACGTCTCCTTATCGAGGCAGGTGGAGTTGTCATATAGTTACTCGTAAAAACCAGAAAAGAGCGAAATTTATAATATTCTAAATAATAAATTTATTTTGAGCACATTCCAAAACAAGAGCGTGTTGTTTAAATTTTATAATTTGAAGAACATTTGTGATCCCACAATTGGTAAATATTTATATGGTAATTTATTGGTTATATTCTTGAAGTTTTTTTAAATGCGTTTATTTCTTTTTTTTTTAATTATTCCTCGTTAATTTTTTTTATTTATTTTCGTTGTCACAATTTATTGGATAAAATAACTCACAACTGTCAGACTGCCTGTAAACTTCAATATTGTAATTTTTCTCAGTGATTTAAGATGAATTATTAATTTCTCAATTTATTAAATTAGTCTGTATCAGTATCAGCATTTTTTTAACAACAGATAGTATTATTTATGACGTACGATAATTTTCCTACGCATTATTATTATTATTATTATTGTTGTTACCTAATTTCTGTGTTGAAAATTATTGATAAAAACCTGTAGTGTTTAATTCATAGTGAATAATTATAACGACTTAATTTTACAGAGCCATGTCAAAGCTATTTGAGCTGATGGGTTCTGAATCGCCCCGGTCTATAGATGAAATTAGTAAGAAATGAATAATTTTTATTTGTCTAATAATTTACACGACTTTTTAAAATATTTATTATTTATTAATTAATTAATTGACAATTTAACTTTTTCTAGTGGCTAAAAATGGCATTCAGCCCACATGTCGCTGTGACAAGTGTTATGAGATGGTAACACTTTTAGACGAGGAAATAAAACGGTACTGGGAAAAATCGATTACGCTCTGGTTCCGCCATCATGACTGTCACTGTGTCAATAAATTCAAATTGCTCGAGATTATCAAAAAAAATCCCGGAAAATTTGATAATAACGTCACTGAGCTGGGAGAGGATTTTTGTCCTTATTCTTCTCATATTTATACAAGTCTTGTCGAGTTTCAAAGTTTGAACAACTATCTCGATTACTTGGACAACAAAACTAAAGATAATGAATTAGCAAAGTCATTTTTAATGTAAGTATATTTTATATGCGTTGATTTCTGTTATTAGTTGGTTATTTGACTACATAATTTTCTTTATAATTGAGAGATGCAATTTTTTTTTTTAATTCGAATAATTATAACAACTTATTTTTACAGTGCTGAGTTTAAACCAGAAGATCAACATATGGCTTCTCAATCGGGTCGTTCTCTTAAGGATTTAAGTAAGAAAAAAAATTATTTTTAACTTTTCAAAATATTTATTATTTAATTACTAATTTATTATTGAAATTTTTTTAGTGGCTAGACGTGGCATTAGGCCGGACTGTCCCTGCGATAAATGTAATGTCATGAGGAAACTTTTAGATGAGAACATGGAACGATTTACCAGAAAATCTTGGGAGTACAATCGTCGCCACAAATACGCTAATAAAATCAGCAGAGCTGATATAAATGAGCGATTACAACTTGATCTAGGAAAATTTAATAATAAAATTTCTGGGCCAGGAGATAATCCTTGTTATAATAATGCTCATATTTATTACCTTTTCATTCAATATGAGACTTACAACAATTATATCGACTATTTGGAAGAGAATGCTAAAGACGATGGAATAGCTGGTCCATCCTCAATGTAATTATTATTTATATGCATTAATTACTATTATTAATTTGTTATTAATCTAAAAAATTTTCTTCATAATCGAGAGATGCAATGTTTATTTTAAATTAAATAATTATAACAACTTAATTTTACAGTACCGAGTCACAACAAGAAGATCTTCTGTTTGAACCGCACATTTCTTGTAAGGACTTATTATCAAAACTAGAAGATATTCTGATGGTTTTTCAACCGCTCCGTTCTTCTAAGGAATTATCAAAACCAAAAGATCAACAGATGGCTTCTCAACCGAGCCGTTCTTTCAAGAAATTAAGTAAGAAAAAAATTATTTTTAATTTTTTATTTTATGCAACTTCAAAATATTCATTATGTAATTCCTAATTTATTATTGAATTTTTTTTAGTGGCTAGACATGGTATTAAGCCTACATGTTACTGTAATAAGTGTAATGAAATGAACAAACTTTTAAAGAAAAACATCGAACAATTTAAAAAAAAATCTTGCGTGTACAATGCTCGCCACAAATTTTCTGAAAGAATCTGCATATCTAGTGTGATGAAGCGATTGAAACTGGATTTGGGAAAGTTTGCCAATAAGATCTCTGGGCCAGGAGATGATCCTTGTTATAATACTCCTCATATTTATTATAGTCTCGTTGAATATGAGACTTACAACAATTATATTGACTATTTGGAAAAGAATGCTGAAGATGATGAAATAGCTGGTCCATCATTAATGTAATAATAGTTTATATGCGTTAATTGTTATCATTGATTTCGATACTCTAATTAGCAATTGATCTAACTCCTTTATTTTTCAGAGGGTAATTTTGTAATATTTTGATGTAGCACTAGTCCAATTATAAATTATTTTAATGATCCAAACCAAAATCTTATACCTCTATTATATATTAATGATATTAAATGGTTTTTTAAAGTGATAATAAATTTTGAATTAATTGTTTTTTCGTACAAATGGAAGATTCTCTAAAATGGAGTTAGACAATTTTCTAATTAGAACGTCGATTTGTTTTTCCACTACAATATTATCTTTATAATCGAGATGCAATGTTTACTTTAAATTAAATAATTTAACAACTTAATTTTACAGTGCCGAGTCAAAGCCATTTCAACTAGTGGGTTCCGAATCGCACTGGTATGTAGATGAAATCAGTAAGTAATGAATAATTTTTATTTTTCTATTTAATTAAATGACTTCTTAAAATTTAATTATTCATTTACTAACTTTAACTATACTAATAATTGAACTTTTTCTAGTGGCTAAGAATGGCATTCAGCCTACCTGTAGATGTGATAAGTGTTATGTCATGGTAAAACTTTTAGACGAGGAAGCACAGCGTTATTTAGAAAAATCTATTACTTTCTGGTTCCGCCATCATAACTATCACTGTGTTGATAAATTAAAAATGTTGGAGCTTATAAAAACAAATCCCGGAAAATTTGACAATAACGTCACTGAGCTGCGAGAGGATTTTTGTGTGAATTCTCGTCATATTTATAAGAGTCTTGTCGAATTTGAAAGTTTGAACAACCATCTCGATCACTTGGACAACAACCTTCAAGAAAATGGACTAGTAAATCCATTTTTAATGTAAGTATATTTTTTATATGCGTTAATTTCTGTTATTAGTTGGTTATTTCACCACATAATTTTCTTTATAATCGAAAGATGCAATGTTTATTTTAAATCAAATAATTATAACAACTTTATTTTACAGTGCGGAGTCAAAATCAGATCACCAAATGGTTTGTCAACCGTGCCCATCACTCAACAAATGTGGTAAGAAAAAAAAATATTGTGCTAGTTAATTTTATTATAATTTTCATGTGATCTTTATTATTTATCGGTTTTATATTTTTCTTCCAGTGGTTGAGGAAGATATAAACTGTAACGTTTGGTCTGTCTAGTAAAATTTTATTTCCGACTGTATTAAAAAAACATCTATCGTTTTTCTCAGATAACTTGGCGTCTACAAATGCATTTATTTAAACTTCTATTAAAACATTAATTAATTAATCTATCAAAACATTAAAATTAAAGGAAAGGATTATAATTAAAGGAAAAAAATTAATAAAAACAGTAATCATGATTATTTTGATTTTGCAAATTTATTCAACGTTTTCAAAATTTTAATTAATTTTCTGATAACCTGTAATTTGCTATTCATCATTCTCTACTGAACGTATATAATTAGATAAATTTAAACAAAACTCGATTCTTTCAATTTCGTATGTTGTGTGCTCGCAGTTCGGTAAGTTAAATTCACGGGTTTGAAAATCGCCCATCAATTTATCGTAGTCCATGCCACATTTCCATTCCATCTGGTTAGATATACCACCATGACGTTGATTGTATAACTTGATCTCTAATAACATAAGCGCTTCGCTGAGATCAGCAGCCATTCGCAGCAAAAAACATATTTTGCATGCAGGCCTGAAATTTAAGTCCGTTTCTTCTGTGAAAAGAAAAAAAAAATTTATTTTATTCGAAAGAACTAATCAAATAAAAGAAAATTAAAGAATATAAAAATTTGAGAAAAAAAAATTTATATCTCCAGTCCAAGCGTCACATAAAAAACTGTTGACTTTTTGGCAAATTTTATTTAACAAGAAGTCAAAAATTAATAATTATCTACTTAAATTCAACAATATATTACCGGAAAAATTTTTGTGTCGCTTGGGAGGCGGCCCTTCATACAGTTCTTGAACTTCTTCTTCACGCTGCATTTTTTTTTTTTTTTTAATTACAATTGATTTTATGAACTACTCAAACTTGATGTATTTTGTACGTTTTGGATGATGAATGTTTTTTTTTTTTTGTAGAGTGTTTCGTGTTTACGTTTGTTCTAGGTCTTAGATTAGCTAGTGGTCTCTATATTAAGTTATGTACAACAAGATCCAAAGGGCGGGAATCTACTATACTGGGAGTGTTGATTATGGAGACCTTGTATATTTTTCGCTACAAAATAATTTTTCAAAAATGGCAAACCAAAACAATAGAAATAATGTCTTAGCCTTTTAATTTACTAGAAATATAATTGATTCTAATTTTTTTTTACATATAAAAATTACTTAAAAAAATTTTTTTTTGAAAAGCGAAAATTTGATTTTTAATTGATTTCTTATAATTATCTACTAGATGGCAGTGAAAGTTTAGGAGATTGATAATTTTGGCGCGTGAACTTCATAATCCATAAATTAATGACAAATTTATTTAGCAAGTTATTTTTCTTAATAAAAAGCTACACATGGTGGTCATGTGCAATACACTTGTTGATAATTTATATTACTGAACTTTGTAAGTATTTTAAAAATTAAAAAAAAAATTACAAGCGCAATTTTTTTATAATTTTTTTTTTTTTTTTTTTTTTTATTTAATAAAATTGTTAGATGTCAGCTGATTTCAGTATCATGCAATTTTTTTTATAAATAATTAAACCTCTGTTATTCTCTAAGAAAAATAGAAAAAAATTATCCAGAGTAAAAATCTCAATATCATATATATTATTAAAAGAGTAAGAAAAATTTTGTATTTATATGATAAAATGGGTTTTATGATTAAATGTGGTATCATTAGAAAGGTCTTGACCTGGAGTTATGCCTTTTCAAGGTTTCATATCATTCTCACTGATAGTCAATTTATGATGATAATGATAAGTATTTAAGCTGCATTTGAAAATACTCAATATCTAAACAGATAATTAAACTCATCCCGACGTTACACTCATCAAGACCGTTCATTTAAGTACCCACATCAATTTTTCATATATTTTATATATTTATAAACATGTATATATGAAAAATATATCAAATATGCATGTGGATATTCAAATGAAAGCTCTTGATGAGTGTAACATCAGGATGAGCTTCTATCTTAAAAAATATCATAAGTTGACAAAATAGAATATAATTTTTTAATTATTGACATTTTTAAAGATATAAGCTAATCCCGATGTTACACTCATCGAGACCTTTCATTTGAGTACCCACATCAATTTTTCATATATTTTATATATTTATAAACATGTATATATGAAAAATATATTAAAAATGCATGTGGGTACTCAAATGAAAGCTCTTGATAAGTGTAACATCAAGATGAGCTTATATCTTCAAAAACGTCAATTGTTAAAAAAGTACAGAAACGAAAGTCATTATTTAATAAAGCAAAATTTTATTTATTCATAGTTCACAAGTCACGGTAGTCACATAGTGACTGCAAGGTTGCTAGTAATAATTAATAACTTATTGAATTTGATAAAAAAAATTTTAATAAATTTTCCAGAACTCCCATAATGACGTCAGTCAACACCGGCAAGTATCGTTCAGAAAAATCAGAAAAAAAGAAAACCTGGGAACCAGGAGCCGAGGGTCCTCGAGAAAACGCAGCAGACAAAGTTCGCCTGAGGCAAGCGAGTGAGAAAATCCACATCGACAACCTCTACGGGTTCCACCGAGTCAGCGACAACCGAGATCGCGTGGGCTATTTAATAAACATGCATGTCACCGAAATCGTCGAGGAAGACAAAAGACTGACCAGCGGCGTGGACTACTACTTCCTCGAGGAAGATTGTACGCGCTTCAAATCTTTAAAAAGATTAAAGTACAAATGATAGTACCAATTTATTAACTCTAAAGTGTTCTAATTGTATTCAACTATTCAATATTTAGATTATTTATTTATATCACTTTTTTCACAATTATATATACATATATATTTTTACGCACAGCATTTTCGCTTAAAAATATTCTAGTTATATATATATAACATTAAAAAAATTATTTTAATAGATAATTAATTGTCTACAAATACAAAAAAAATTTAATTTTAAATAAAGTAATTTATAAGAAAAGTACCAAAGATCAATGCTTACATATGAATTCAAATAGATGTAAAAAAAATACTTGAGAAGATATTTAACATAAATGCAATAAATTAATAAATAACTTTATTCGACCTAATAATTAGTGGCTCTCATAAATTCGTAGGGGGAAATTTTTTTTTAACTGTTTTTTTTTTTTTTTGCTAAATCGTTTGTTGTCAACAAAATAATTTTTCGAAAATAGACGACCAAAACTATGAAAACTATGTGATAATTTTTTAATTTACTAGAAATATAATTGATTCTAATTTTTTTTATATAAAGATAAAAATGACTCAAAAAAAAAATTTTTTTTCGAAAAGCAAAAATTTGAATTTTATTTTATTTCCTGTAATTATCCTCTAGATGGTAGTACAAGTTTAGGAGGTTGATAATTTTGGCGCGTAAACTCTACAATCCATAACCAAGATGGAGAATGTAAACAGTCGCTGACAGTTGATACTAGTGTAACAAAAATATTTATTATTTATTGTTTATATTATTTAATATTCATATTACTTATTATTTTTCTTTATTAATTAATTAAAGTAAGTATTTCAATATATTTAATTAATTAGATCATGATAAATATAATTAATGACAAATTTATTTAGCAAGTTATTTTTCTTAATAAAAAACTACACATGGTTGTCATGTGCAATTCACCTGTTGATAATTTATTTTGCTGAAATTAAAAAGAAAGTCTAAAGATTATAAAAAATTACAGCAAATTTTTCATAAATTTTTTTTTAATAAAATTGTATGATGTCGGCTGATTTCAGTATCATGCAATTTTTTATAAATAATTTTCTAGACTTCTGTTATTATTTACTTAAAAAAAAAAAAAATATCCAGAGTAAAAATTTTAAAATTAAAATAATTAAAAACATTGAATTTAATAAAAAAAATTTTATTGTACATTTTATGGAAATTGATGCAGCAGATACTTAATAATTTTTTAAAACAATAAATTAGTATAAAAAAAAATTGACATGGAGAAATTTAAAAAAATTAAAAATGCAATTTTTTAAAATAATTTTTTAGAACAAATTTGTTTATTGAATAAAATTAAAAAGTGGTCAAATGACTGCGAACTTTAATATCATGCCCATTTTTCAGAACTCCCACAATGGCGTCAGTTAACACCGGCAAGTACCGTTCAGAAAAATCAGAAAAAAAGAGAACCTGGGAACCAGGAGCCGAAGGTTCTCGAGAAAATGCAGCAGACATTCGCCTGAGGCAAGCAAACGAGAACATCCACATCGACAACCTCTACGGGTTCCACCGAGTCAGCGACAATCGAGAACGCGTGGGCTACCTAATAAACATGCACGTCACCGAAATCGTCGAGGAAGACAAAAGACTGACCAGCGGCGTGGACTACTACTTCCTCGAGGAAGACTGTACGCGCTTCAAAGTATCAATGCCCTACCACCCATACTTCTACATCCTCTGCCGCAAAGACACCGAGCAGGAGCTTTCAATCTTCCTGCAAAAAAAGTACAGCGGAATTGTCAGCAAGATCGAGATAGTCCGCAAAGAAGACCTGGATCTTCCCAACCACCTAGCAGGAATCCAACAAAAATACTTGAAGCTCTCCTTCTCCAACATCGTAGACATGACCAAGGTCAAAAAGCAGATCCGCCACGCAGTGAAGCTAAGCCGCGACAGAGAAAAGACCCAGTCGTGCTATTCCGAGTTGCTGGAGGACAACGACGACGCGGATGAGCAGAGCCTCAAGAAAATAATTGACCACATGGACAACATCGTGGACATCCGCGAGCACGACGTTCCCCACCACATCAGAGTTTCAATAGACTTGAACATCTACGTCGGTTGTTGGTACTCCATCAAAACTCGTGGTACAGACTCTCCAATCATCACCAGAAGGTCGGACATAATCGAGACTATCGACCCAATTGTCCTGGCGTACGATATCGAGACCACGAAGCTCCCTCTGAAGTTCCCCGACGCGAACTTTGATCAAATTATGATGATATCCTACATGATCGACGGCGCAGGGTACCTGATCACTAACCGCGAGATCATCTCCATGGACATCGAAGACTTCGAGTACACTCCATCTCCAGAATTCGAAGGTAAGTTCCAAGTTTTTAACGAGCCCAATGAGAAGGCTACAATTGAAAAGTTCTTCCAACACATTCTCGACATCCGTCCTCACATTTTCGTATCCTACAACGGAGATTTCTTCGATTGGCCGTTCGTGGAGACTCGAGCTGCGATTCACGGGTTGAATATGAAAGACCAGATAGGGTTTGCTAAGAACCGGGATGGCAATTTTGCTAGCAGGCCCGCTAGCCACATGGACTGTCTGTCTTGGGTAAAGCGCGATTCTTACTTACCAGTCGGGTCTCAGGGTCTTAAAGCAGTGACCAAGTCCAAGTTGAGGTACAATCCGGTAGAAGTTGATCCGGAGGAGATGTGCAAGCTGGCAGTCGAACAGCCAGAGTCTTTGGCTAACTACTCAGTTTCTGACGCAGTTGCTACTTATTATTTGTATCAGAAGTACGTTCATCCGTTTATCTTCGCGTTGTGCACTATTATTCCTATGAACCCTGATGAAGTCCTGAGAAAAGGCTCGGGAACTCTCTGCGAGTCTCTGCTGATGGTGGAAGCTTTTAAAGCTAACATCATCTTTCCTAACAAGAAAGAAAATGAGCTGAATAAGTTGACGACTGATGGACATGTGCTTAATCAGGAAACTTACGTAGGCGGTCATGTAGAAGCGCTGGAGTCTGGTATTTTCCGGGCGGATATCCCTTATAGGTTCAAAATAGTCACCAGTGCAGTGGACGAATTGATTAGTAGCGTGGATAACACTCTAAAGCACGCGATCCAGGAGGAAGAGAACGTTCCGTTAGATTTGGTGGATAATTTTGAAGAAGTTGCTGATGCGATTAGGGAAAAGTTGATGGACTTGAAGAACCAGCCGCTGAGATTGGAAAAACCGGTGATTTATCATTTAGATGTTGGTGCGATGTATCCCAATATTATTCTAACGAATCGGCTGCAACCTTCCGCCATGGTTGACGAGACTGTTTGCGCTGCTTGTGATTACAATCGTCCTGGGGCGCTGTGCAAGCGCGATATGAAGTGGATGTGGCGTGGAGAGTACTTAGCTGCCAGTCTCAGCGAGTATCAGCGCATCCAACAGCAATTGGAGACTGAGAAATTCCCTCCGGCTTTTCCTGGAGGACCCAAAAGAGCGTTCCATCAGCTCCCTCCAGTGGATCGTGCTAGTTATGAGAAGAAACGACTGGAGCAGTACTGCAAAAAGGTCTATAAGAAGGTCAAAATTACTAAGATGGAAGAAAGGACCCAGACTGTTTGTCAGAAGGAAAATTCTTTTTATGTTGACACTGTGAGAGCTTTTAGGGATCGTAGGTATGAGTACAAAGGCTTGAATAAAGTTGCGAAGCAACAAGTAGCTGCTGCGGTTAAAAAGAATGATGCTGCGGAAATCAAATCTGCGAAAAATAGGGAAGTTCTTTATGATTCTTTGCAGCTGGCTCATAAGTGTATTTTGAATTCTTTTTATGGGTATGTAATGAGAGGAGGCTCCAGGTGGTTCAGTATGGAGATGGGTGGTATTGTTTGCTACACTGGCGCTCACATTATCATGGAAGCTAGGAAAATTGTTGAAAAAATTGGACGTCCTTTGGAACTAGACACAGATGGAATTTGGTGTATCTTACCAGCTTCTTTTCCGGATAATTTTATTGTAAAAACTAGGCATGAAAAAAAATCCAAGCTTACTATTTCGTATCCCAACGCGGTGCTTAATTTTATGGTCAAAGATCAGTTTACTAATGACGTTTATCATGATTTAGTAGACAAAGATACTGGTCATTATAAAATCAGGAGTGAGAATTCCATTTTCTTTGAAATTGATGGTCCGTATTTAGCAATGGTGCTGCCAGCTGCTAAAGAAGAAGGCAAGAGGCTCAAAAAAAGATACGCAGTGTTCAACTTTGATGGTTCTTTGGCAGAATTGAAAGGCTTTGAAGTGAAACGTCGTGGGGAGTTGCAATTGATTAAGATTTTTCAGTCGTCTGTTTTTGAATCTTTCCTGAAGGGAACCACATTGGAAGAGTGTTATAAAGCTGTTGCAGAGGTTGCGGATTACTGGTTGGATATTTTGTACACCAAGGGAGCGAATATCCCTGACTCGGAGCTGTTTGAGTTGATCAGCGAGAACAAATCTATGTCTAAGAAGCTTGAAGACTATGGTGCCCAAAAATCGACTTCTATTTCCACCGCTAAACGACTTTCTGAGTTCTTGGGTGACCAGATGGTAAAAGACGCTGGACTTGCTTGTAGGTACATCATTGCTAAGAAGCCCCACGGAGCTCCGGTTACAGAACGAGCCATTCCCTTGGCGATATTCCAGTCCGAGCCGAGTATCACCAAGCACTACTTGCGCAAGTGGTTAAAAGACCCGTCGATGCAGGAGTTTGATATCCGAGAGATCTTAGACTGGGGGTACTACATTGAGAGGCTTGGAAGTGTCATTCAGAAGATTATTACAATACCTGCTGCTATGCAAGGGATTGCTAATCCAGTTCCTCGGGTTCGACATCCTGATTGGTTGCACAAGAAATTGTTGGATAAGAATGATACCAAGAGACAGACGAAAATTACGGATATTTTCAAAGCTTCTGTTAGAGAAGTTGGTCAGGATGATAATGATGATGATGATGATGATGATAATGAATGTGGTGATAGTGAGAATGTTCAGATAAACGATATTGAAGACATGGCTTCTACTTCACGAATCAGACCAGTTCCTCAGGCGAAAAGAAAACGCGTGGGTTCCGAAAGCGAAGAGATAGACCTGAAGAAAAGCTGGAGAGAAGTTCTGGGTGCGCCTCCAGCTCCTGGAAAGACTTATGCTGAGTTCCAATCCTGGTTGGAGTTCCATAGGAAAAAGTGGTCCTACCAGAAGAAGCAACGAGGTGACAGACAGCGCAAGAAGATCAGGATGATCGGCCAAGCCGAAGAAACAGCGCGTGGAGTTGTAAGAAATGCTAACACTTCAACAATTTCGGGTTTCTTTCGCAAAGCGCATCGGAAATTACTGGACTACCCTTGGCAGATAATCCAAATTGTAGAGACTAATGAGCCGGGGCTTTTCAGAGTTTGGGCGCTTGTAGATAACGAATTGCATCAAGTTAGATTGTCAGTTCCAAGGATTTTCTATGTTAACTCTAGAAAAGAGCGCGGTGATCCTGGAGCAAACGACCTTTGGCGCAAGTGTACCAAGATTCTTCCTCGCTCAAGACCTGTTTATCACCTGTACCAGTATACTGTCCCAGAAGGACTGTATCAACAGCACAGCCAGAGTCTGATGGAGAATGTAACCCAACCAGAGAATGAGGGGATCTATGAGACTCAGATGCCTCTAAGTTTTAGAGCGATACTAGAGCTGGGGTGCGTTTGTACAGTGGATGCTAGGGCTGCTAGAAGCATGGCTGATGGCTCGGACACTTTTAATCTTCACCATCTTCAAATGAAGACTGGAATAGCTGAGATGTACTTGAGAGATCGCTCGGTTATTAAGTATGTCTATTTGTTCCATCACTGGGCGACGACTCGTCAGAGATCTATGTGGGGATTGTTCCTCGGACCCAGTAAAAGAGGACACATTTTTGTCTACGACTCTGTGAGAACCAACCAGATGCCTAATATGAACACTTTGTACCAAACTGAGAGGAATTTGATAAAAAACAATCCAGATATTGAATTGTACCCCGAAGACATGACCTTTGAAGTCAGAATTGAAACTAATCTCCAGCAAGTCCAGAGGCAGTTGCAAGCAGCCTTAAAAGCTTACAAAAATGAAATGAAGGGAGCTACGATGCTGTTGGTTCAATCTCCAATGGAGATTCCTAATCTTTGCAGTGAAATGCCGGGGCTGAACGAATTTCCGATAGTAGCAGTTCATAATCCAGATGTGGACCACCTTTTTAGCACTCTTGATTGGCAGAGAGTCGGCGCTAGGACCATGGTCAAGCATTTCTTGAAGAGCAACCATGGATTGAGTCTGATGATAGACCAATGTCGCTTTTTCGCAGCTCCTTTGGGAAACATTCCAGCAGACGCGACGCTTTTTGGCGCTGATCTGTTCTACGCTCGGAATTTACAGAAGCACAATTTCGTGCTTTGGTGCTCGCCGAACGAGCGGCCTGATTTAGGAGGCAGTGAGAATGATGATAACCGTCTGCTTACTGATTTTGAGGAAAGTTCCAGTTGTGCTGCTAACAAATCTGGAACTTTTTCCAGCGTTTGCGTAGAATTGGAGGTTGAAAGTCTGGCAATTAACACTCTATTGCAGTCAAATAAGGTTAATGATGTAGACGGTACCAGTTCTTTTGTTAGCTTCCATGTGGCGCCACAGGCGTCGCTCCAAGACATAGTCTCCGGGGATCCCAAAGCTGTGATTCCGAGTTACGACGAGACGGCTGTTTGTAGCGCAGCTTTCAAAGTCTTGAGAAATATGGTTAGTGGGTGGTTGAAAGCAGTCACCTTGCAGAAGAATGTCTTCGCGGATTACCAGATTATTCACTTTTATAGGTGGCTTAGGACTCCCAATGCTTTGTTGTATGACCCTGCGTTGAGAAGGACGCTTCATACCTACATGAAGAAATTGTTTATTCAATTAATTGCAGAGTTCAAGAGACTTGGGTCTATTATAGTGTTTGCTAATTTTAACAAAATTATTATTTGCACCAAAAAAAGAACCATTACCGACGCATTGGGGTATATTGAGTTTGTGGTACAGACTATTAAGAACAAAGAATTGTTTCATTCTATTGATATTACTTATGAGAATTGTTGGGAGTATTTGGTTTGGTTGGATTTGGCGAATTTTGCTGGAATCAAGGGCAAGTTGAATGATTCTGTTGATGGCCAGGGAAGAAATGTTAGGGATGATGATGGTGATGATAATGATAAAGATTCTGATGAAGAAGATGAAGATAGTGATACCCCAGAAGTAATCATGACCTGGAACTTGATGGAGATTTTGCCCCAAGAAGCTTCTTGTCAAGCCAGCTTCAGCGCTGTCATCGCGGGATACATCATCGCAGTCTACGAATTCATCAACCAAATGGAGTTCCCGAATACTCCGAGGCTCAGTCGAAGAAGGAAGAATAATTTCAGCCAGACTATCTGCCAGCTGGGTCTAGGCTCGCTGGAAAACGCTGGGGAGTTTGCGAAAAAGCTGATAAACGGAGAGATGTCCCAGAAGCTGTTCCAGATCGTCCAGAAGATTCATAAAAAAATGCCCGAGAAGGTTCTGACCAGCGACGAATTTCCTAATTTGGATCTTGGTAGTTCTGGGGTGATGAAGATCAACCCGGCGTTGGAGTTGATTAAAGCTGTTTGCAAGGTGTTGTCCCTGGATAAAGAAGTCGAGGATGAGGTTTTTGAATTGCAGAGGAATCTTCTAAGGCTGATCAAAGTTGGTAACTTCAGTGACAAAGCTGAGTGGAAGGAGCCTTGTATTTCTTTCGTGCTTCCGGAGATCATCTGCAAGGCCTGTAATCACACTAGGGATATTGATCTGTGTAAGGATATTTATCGTACGATTGAAGCTGGTGTTCATGTTTGGAATTGTCCGCTTTGTAAGACTACTTACGATAATGCGGAGATTGAGTTCACTCTAGTTGATACTGTTTGCAGAAAGAGCATGGGCTTTGTGTTGCAGGACTTGCAGTGCAAGAAGTGCGGTGAAGTTCAGAGAGATAATGTTAAAGAGTACTGCTGTTGTTCGGGGGAATATAAAAATACTGTAATGCAAGATGAAATGATTAAGTGTATAAAAGTTTTGAAGTCTATTGCTAAGAAATGTCAAATGGTTGTTTTGAGCGATTTAATTGATAGTATTAAAGTTGTTAAATAAATATTTTTGTATTGCCAATTCTTATAAAATTGATTTTTATTTTTTTTTTATCTAAATCCTGGAGAGTTTAAAGATTGTTTTTTGGTTAATTTTATCTTATAAAATTTTGCTTTATTTAATAATGACAAATACAAAAACCTAAATGCAAATATGAATTAAAAAAAAAAAAGGTAAGTTTCTAACAATAATTTCAAAAATACAAAAATAACTCAATAACTTCTTCCAAAAAGCGTCCAGTACTCCGTTTTGATTCCACACGTCTCTTCTGAAGCTTTGGCTTTCTTCTTCTTGTCCATCTGCTAGTTCAAATCTCAGTCCTGTTGTTTGGGCATGTTCTGGCTGTTTTCGGCATCTTTAGCTTCCTCAGGAGTCCAAATCTTTGAAATCCAAGATATTTAAAAAAATTTTTTTTCTTACTTTTATTCCACAGATGAAAGACGAAAAAATAGACAGTTATATCGTTTTACGTCACTTCTGTGATTATTTTATTCGATTGTTGATTGGTCGAGAATAATGGCGGGATTTTTTAATGAATGAAGGCGAGCGAAGCGAGTATGATAGGTCTAGCACAAATAAATTGACCATTAGATGTGACGCTTGACGAATGTTTTCGACCGGTTCCATCCGGCATGTATCCCGAAAATTTCCAACGCATTGTTGTTAAGTTTAACTGCCAAATATCATTGAAATGGAAAGCACGAGTAATGTCATATCCCCCTGTCAGAATGACATTAACATCACCGGTTAGTGGGTTCCTCCACTAGTTGATGATGTAATCAATTCTGTTTTGGGGTTGACAACTGGCTTCCATCTCCATAAGTCACGAAGGTTCGCCATGTAAGATTTTCTAAGTTGAACGCCGGAATCCTCTGTAATAATAAAAAATTATTTTTGGATTAAATATTTAAACATATTTTAATATATATAAATATGTTTGACGTATTTTATAAGTTATAAAAAAAAAAAATTTTATTAATAATTACTGTGAGCGGAATTATTTCAATCAAGGGTCTCTCAATGAAATTGATTCCTAGAACGAAAATGAATTTTCCATTGTAGACCAAGGTAGGTTGGTAAAAGTCATGAACAGTCGTCGTTAACTCATTGACATATAAGGCTCTCCATACTCTGGTTTGAATGTTGAGCTCGTGGACATTATATCGCTCTTGTCTACATCTTCTAAATTCAATCGCATATAAAAAATTTCCATGCCGGATCATGTTTTTGTCCAACTCATCGAAAGGTTGAGGTCCAAAGGCTATTCTTTCAACGAAACTATTATTTTTTAAATTGCAAATATTCAAATAAGATGTCATTGGTAGATCTGCTATATCATCAGATTTGCACACAGCAAAATAATTTTCTTCGAAAATTATCCCCTTAATACCGTGGTCTTCGAAGCGATCAGCTAAACGTATATTTTGGGTGTCAGCCCATATTCTCCATCTTTTCGATGAGAGATTGTAAATCCATGTGTCATTTATTGTGTGACACCGTATACAAAAATTTTTTTCCCATCACAAACCAACGTGGGTTGATAAAAGTCTCCGGCTGCTTCTTGGAGTCTCGTTTCATAAATTCTTTTCTATATATATATATATATATATATATATATATAAGTATCAATGTTGAGCTGATAGACACTAAATCCATCAGCTCCAACTCTGTCAAACTGCACAGTATATAAAAAGTTCTTATTATGATTCACCCCGAATATGAAAATTTTTTTGCCATCACAAACTAAACTTGGCTGATAAAAGTCTCCAGCTTCTTCTATGAGTCTCGTTTGATAAATTATTTTCCATTCATGGGTATCAATGTTAAGCTGATAGACGCAGTAAATCCATCAGCTTCAAGATGATCAAATTGCACGGTGTACAAACGGTGTGTTTCTGTGACGAACCATATTCTTAGCTAACGCGTTGAACGGCAGCTTTCCTCCGCACATATTTTTCACAAAACTTTTGTTTGTTAAATCAACTGTGTATAAAAAACATTTAATTGTGTCATTGAGATCAAATTATCTCATCGTACAAACTACTAATCGTTGATCTTCAAAAATCACGCCAACTATTACGTCATTCAAGATTTCATCTGCGAGATTAATCAAATTTTGTGATCTCCAAAGAGACCATTTACGGGTCGCAAAATTATACCGCCACAAATCATTGGTGCTTTGGCTGGTACACATATGTTGGTAATCCCTACAAAACAATTCCGTCATATCACCTCCACCAAATCAATATAGATTGTGGCCATCACAGTAAATTGTTGATTCTATTCTACCAGCAGGGCAAACACCTTCCGTTAAATGTCTTTTTAATTCAAATAGCTTAAATTTATACATTTTTTTCGATTTTTCCATTTCACTGGATAATTAATTTAATGAAAAAAAGTTTATATCAGTTATACTAAACAATATATGTCCGATTTTTAATCACTCAGATTATAACGAAGTAAAATTATTTAGATTACGGTTAGAATTTGATCCAGGAATTAGATACACGGAAAAAAACGTGCGGTAAATCCAACTATACTTGGCGTTGGATTTGAAACACGTTAAAATAATCATCCGTAAACAAACTATAGCGTAGATATACTTTAGTCCATCTTGTAGTAAATGCTACTCCTGCTACTCAAAGTGTTAGTTGCATTTACCGCATTTTTTTTCCATGCAGTCAATATAAATCAATACAATGCTCCCTCTACAAAGTATTATACTTGGCAAGTATTTTTTAATGATTTGGACAAGAAATAAAACAATATTTTTCCAAATTAAAAAAATGATAACAAACGAAGATTTAGATGTAACTCAAGAAACTAACCATTTAAAAATAAATCATTAAGAAGAAAAGGTTTTGCAAGTAAATAAAGCTTATTTGTTTTATGCATAATTTTGAAGAATTTGAAATTTCTGCCTATAATTGGTTTTTTAATAAAGAATATATAATGCTTAGATTCACTAATTTACAGTCGATAAATAAATAGCATACCTTAATCTTACCTCATCTAATTCCTAAACCTAATTCATATTATCATAATTATTATTATATTATATAAATTGCTATTAACTTATTATAATTTATAAAAACTAATTCTAAAATGTTTTACTTAATTTTATAAAATCTATAAAAATTTACTTTAATTTGTAAAAAATTTATAAAAATTGCTCACTATTAATGTAATACTCTGTACTTTACGGCCCTTAGGGAACACTTATTCTAGGGACGAATGAATTAAATAAATACAAAAAAAAAAAAAAAAAAAAAAAAAAAATTATTCTACTTTTTTTTGTCAATTTAAAAATAAATAATAAACATCTTCAATATAATTTAATATAAAACTTTATTTTATTTTTAATTACAAACAATCCACTCTGTATAATTAAATCTTCCTTTCACTCTCGAACTGTCTTAAATACAAAAACCTAAATACAAGTATGAATAAAAAAAAAAAGGTAAGAATCTATCAATAATTTCAAAAATATAAAAATAACTCAATAACTTGATCCAAAAAGCGTCCAAGCATCCTTCTTCTTGTCCATCTGCTAGTTCAAATCTCCGTCCTGTTTTTTGGACATGTCCTGGCTGTTTTTGGCGTCTTCAGCTTTCGTAGAAGTCACCGTTGGCTTCCAAAAAGTGCCAGTAAGGTTACAGTACTCGTACATAAAGTTTTTCAGGAATGTAGCGTGCACGTGGATAATCACGGGGTCAGCATGGCCTCTAATTAACTGGCTATATATTTTCTTACTCCCTCTCGAATCTTTTGATCTAAAAAATCAGCTGGACCACAAGAGTTCTGTCCTTCCATGGTGTCTTTAGGAGTCGCCTTTGGCTTCCAATTGCACGCCTCATAGCGCGAAGCGCGTGAGAGCCCGAGAAAAAATATTTATATATAATTATATATATTTATATATAAATTGGTTATATATGATTATATATGAAAAATGGCCAAATATAATCATATCTAATTATATATAATTATGTATAATTATATATAACTATATATAACAATATTTAATTATAGATTTATTACATCTAATTAATTATTGGGTTAATTTTACGGATAGAGTATTTAATATGGTCCTACGCAATTCTGTATAACTGATCAAAATGCAAAAAAAATATCTAGAACTAATTTTATGGCTATAACACCAGTGGTCACCCATCCAACTATTAACCCTGCTCAATGCTGCTTAACTTTGGTGATCTCCATGCGTCTTGAAGTCTCTGTCTGCTGTGCTGCTATCTTAGACAATAATGATTCTATGATCCACTTAATGTATCATATGAGTTTATCATAAATATAATATAAAAATTGATTTATAATATATTTGGATAGTCATAATTCATAAATAATTTATTTATCTTACCGAATTTCATCATAATATAACACTTATTTAAATAATAAAATAAATAATGATTTTACTACTACGTAGTAGCAGAGCAGACAAAACATCTCATAGAAAATGTGACAAATTTTGTATTTCAGAATTATGTAAACGTAATTATAAACATCATTTTACACTTTACGTAATTACCAAAAAAAAATTTTTTTTCAAAGAAAAAATTTTTATATATGTTAATTATATATAAGCATATATAATTATATATGGGACTATGTACAATCTTGCATAGCAGTATATTGCTCCATATATAGTCATATATGATTATATATGACCTCATATACAATTCCATATATAATCATGTATGATTATATATAATCATATATAATTATACATAACTATATATGGAGCTATACACAGCCATGCAAGATTATATATAATCATACATGATTATAAATGGAATTGT